GATGATGATGATGATGGTGGTGGTGGTGGTGATGGTGATGGTGATGGTGATGGTGATGGTGATGGTGATGGTGATGGTGATGGTGATGGTGATGGTGATGGTGATGGTGATGGTGATTGTGATGGTGATGGTGATGATGATGATGGTGGTGGTGGTGATGTTGAGGTTGATGTTGATGCTGATGCTGTTGATGATGATGACGATTATGATTATGATGCTGATGCTGATGCTGACGCTGATGCCGGTGCTGATGCTGATACTGATGCTGGTGCTGCTCCTGCTGCTGCTGCTGATGATGATTATGCTGCTGGTGTTGTTGCTGCTGAATTCTCATTGTTAAAGAGTAGTTGTTGTTGATCCCCCCTCCCCATTAACCAGTGTATTTGTCAATTAAAATGTTTCTCCCAGGGCTTGCACGCTGTTTCTTTACAAGGGAAAGTGAGGTGTCACCAAACTGCGCCCCTGGGCCCCAGTTTACAACAACAACAACAACAACAATCATTTTTGGACTGTTTGTTCTTATCTATTCGATGCTGATGATAATGCTGATGCTGCTGATGATGATTATGATGATGATGATGGTGGTGATGATGATGCTGATGATGATGATGCTGCTGATGATGATGATAATGATGGTGATGCTGATAATGGTGGTGATGATGGTGCTGGTGGTGATGATGGTGATGATGATTATGAGGATGAGGATGAGGATGAGGATGGTGAGGAGGAGGATGAGGATGAGGATAAGGAGGACTTGTGTCAACGACATATTCAGCAACGATGTAGCAGTAAGCCCTCCCTCGAAGTTCCCTCTTCGCAGGTCCGTACAACATATACATATAACGGCGCACCGGGTCCGGGGGCCTGGGGCCGGGACCCCGACCACAAATGTGCGCCCCGGGGGGCCCGGAGGCTCGTCGGGGCTTGCCGGAGGCCTCCCCAGTCAGACAAGACGGCCCAAGAAGCGCCCAAGACGGCCCAAGAAACTTCCAAGAGGCCTCCAAGAGGGCTCCGAGATGCTGAAGATGGCCTCCAGACGTCCAAGGACGCCCCCAAGAGGCCCCAAGAAGCCTCCAACATGCGTCCCAAGAGGGCCCCTAGACGCAAAAATTGGCCCATTCCCTTCGTAAAACGTACATTTTCAACAAAGTTGTCTTTTGGGCTTTCCGACGTTACAGGACGGCCCAAGAGGCGCCCAAGACCGCCCCAAGACGGCCCAAGAAGCTTCCCAGAGGGCCCCAGGACAGCCCAAGAGGGCCCCAAGACGGCCCAAGAGGCGCCCAAGATGGCCCAAGAGGGCCCCAAGACGGGCCCAAGAGGGGGCCCAGAGGGGGACCACGAACCGCAAGCTCGAGCCTTCCGCCCCAAGAGGCCGCCAGGAGGCCCCCAGGAGGCCCCTCAAGAGGCCCCAGGAGACCCCAGACGTCCAAGGACGCCCCCAAGAGGCCCCAAGAAGCCTCCAACATGCGTCCCAAGAGGGCCCCTAGACGCAAGAATTGGCCCATTCCCTTCGTAAAACGTACATTTTTAACAAAGTTGTCTTTTGGGCTTTCCGACGTTACAGGACGGCCCAAGAGGCGCCCAAGACCGCCCCAAGACGGCCCAAGAAGCTTCCAAGAGGGCCCCAGGACAGCCCAAGAGGGCCCCAAGACGGCCCAAGAGGCGCCCAAGATGGCCCAAGAGGGCCCCAAGACGGGCCCAAGAGGGGGCCCAGAGGGGGACCACGAACCGCAAGCTCGAGCCTTCCGCCCCAAGAGGCCGCCAGGAGGCCCCCAGGAGGCCCCTCAAGAGGCCCCAGGAGACCCCAGACGTCCAAGGACGCCCCCAAGACGCCCCAAGAAGCCTCCAACATGCGTCCCACGAGGGCCCCTAGACGCAAAAATTGGCCCATTCCCTCGTAAAACGTACATTTTCAACAAAGTTGCCTTTTGGGCTTTCCGACGTTACAGGACGGCCCAAGAGGCGCCCAAGACCGCCCCAAGACGGCCCAAGAAGCTTCCAAGAGGGCCCCAGGACAGCCCAAGAGGGCCCCAAGACGGCCCAAGAGGCGCCCAAGATGGCCCAAGAGGGCCCCAAGACGGGCCCAAGAGGGGGCCCAGAGGGGGACCACGAACCGCAAGCTCGAGCCTTCCGCCCCAAGAGGCCGCCAGGAGGCCCCCAGGAGGCCCCTCAAGAGGCCCCAGGAGACCCCAGACGTCCAAGGACGCCCCCAAGACGCTTCGCGTCACCAATTTCTTCTCGCAACGATTCCTGGGTCTGTGACTCGACAGAACCTAAGCGCGCGCGAAGCGCGCGCGTGGTTCTAGTTTATATATATATATATTATATATATATATATAATATATATATATATATATATATATATATATTATATATATATATATATGTATATATAATATACATATATATCCGTGGCGGGAAGTGCCCCGTATGAAGACAGCAGTGTGACAATCCTCATTCGTGCCGAAACACCGCTCTGGGGACTCCAGTGCCGCGAAAT